AACAGTGATCTGGTGGCGGCAACGCACATACATCAAAGAGAGTAAACATCGTGCAGCGTCCATCTCTAGTACGTCCGTGGTTTGTTTGACTAGGCAATGTATCACAATACAGTGAGCATCTTACATTGCGTACATCATATGGAGCAATCAGGTCATTAACAGAAAACAGTTCTCAGAGTACAACTGTTCATAATCGATCTGACCATGGAGGTATCTGTTTATACATTTGTACATCCATGATCTGACAGAAACACTGAAACGCCGAGAGTACATGTACAACGATTTCAATACAACCTGACTAGAAGTCGTACTATCATTTACCACCTCAAACTTTTTGGCCACACATATATTTTTATATCTTATTGATTGAATTCTTGCCGTTATATATATTCACATTTTATTAACGAGTAAGTATGGCATATTTATATATGTATTTATTTACTAATAACTTGTATGTTGCAAGTACAGCTCAATTATATTTATTTTCATACATGTATAACTCGTTCATTTTTGAAAAGTGTGTTTAACTGGTCATACTTGTTATTAGTAAAGAAATAAATACGCCAAAAAACGAGTCATAAGTAAATGACTAAAAATATGCTGCGCTTGCATAAGTCAGTATTAAATCCAAATATATGAGCATGAACTTGATCAATAATATATAAAATTTAGTTGTCCATAAGATTATTACCAGAAAACATAAATTGTTATATGTAATTTTTTGCTAGAGTGATCTTTGAGTTCGTGAATTTATGAAGTTGATATATTAGGCCATCATTAATTGTATTGAATGCTACTTCCAAGTTTTTTTACATGTTTGTTCGCATATTTTAGTGCATACACGTATGGAAATAGCAATATTTTATGTCAAAATCTGTGGACAATTATTTCTTTTAGTATTACCGTAAAATCTGTATTAGAAGCTGCATCCCTAATATAAGTCGCACCCATTCTTTTTGAATAAATGAGAACCAAAAATTCATCATTTCTCATATGTTTAGGTGCTCCAATAGAAGCAGCATCCCCTCTATTGCATTGTACCATTTTAATAGAAGTCGCATCCCCTCTATTGCATTGTACCATTTTAATAGAAGCCGCGGTTTCTAATACAGATTTTACAGTAGTCAACTTTATGTGAACTTTTTCAGTTCACTGTCAATAAAATTTTATTTTAGCAGAGATTTCCAAAGACTACAATGAAAACACATTTCCGAGATAAAAACCCACTACTCTGTAAAATCTGTATTAGAAACCACTGCCTCTATTAAAACGCTACAATGCAATAGAGGAGATGCGGTGCTATTAGAGCACCAAAGAAAAGAATAGGTATGGCTTCTCTTAGGGATGTGGCTTCTAATACAGATTTTACAGTAATATTTAAAAAAATTTAATATCTCTAGACATCAAAAAGTACCTTGTAAGACACTATATCACTATATGTCACCAAACTAAATTTTGATATATATATATATACCCTAAAATGGACAAAACATTATTTTCACTCCATTTTGTACATTTGTTTTTATTCCATTTTCTTCTTCCTTCTCATGACATGAAATATCAAGTTTAAAAATAGGTAGCATTCTACCTTAAGCACGCTCTTTATGTTTTGATTGTTGTTGTTTAGTATTATTTTTGTTGTAGTAATTTTTGTAACTTTGTGTGATTAACAGTCCTCCTTAAATAGTCAAGACTGTCAAGATCAATTAAAATAAAAAAAAAATAAAAAAAAATACAACTTTTAATAAATATATATATATACATGTATATGTAATGAAAAAGAATCAATCTACAAAACATGTGTGGCTGGAACTTTCGTGGCCGTAACTACCAGGGTCGAAACTTTGCATTTTAAATAGTAAAGTAAAAATATACTTTGATAATTTAAATTTCAATGAATTACAAAAAAGTACGCACAATACAGATGATAAGGATTAGATGTATATTGCAGCTTGGCTGAAAGAAATTCAAAAACAATATTGTGATATTTTTTCAATAGTATAAAAATTATTGTTTTAATTTCCACCCACGCAGTGACAAAAACTGATCAATGACATGGCATGACATGACCTTACCCAACCCTTCTATGATGCTGTAATGTAATACCAAAATAAAGGTACCTGTTACTACCAGTGACAAAACGCACACAGTGGAATGCCCTAATCGATAAAGATGTCACTTCAAACGATTGTAAACATTCTCAAAATAGCAGTGTTGTATGGGAAGAGGTACAACAATACTCAGCAGTATTATATTTGCAAACTACAACCACTGTACAACCAAGTACGATGCTGTTTTCAATCAATTGGGAAACAAAAACAAACTAGGCAATGAACAGATGTTGTAGCAAAGTAATCATTTTAGACCCCCATCAGTCGAAGGCTGTGTTGATTTGATTCTAGCTGTGGATTAAAAACAAACAACAATAAAAGAAAATAAACTAATAATATACAGATGTAAGGAATCAACATAATGAGTATGGAAAGTAACTGAACACTGTGTGTATTCATAGACCTTAGAGAGAGAAGGTTATGGTGTATCTGACACTGATACAATGACATGTAACAGACACAGATCAGTTCATTAAAATCAGGAAGAGATACTTTTAACCCAATTACAAATTGACAATACATCAATCAATGGAGGAAACCACTGACAAAGTGTGTGGTAGCATTGTCCTACAGTGTTTTCTCTGACAGGACTGATTTTGTAGGGATATTTATCAAAATTTGGGGGTGGGGTAAAGATTGCACCGGTATGTAGAAACTAAATATGGCCCCTGATTTATTACAGTTCTTTTTTTCATAACACTTTCCTTTTTATTAAATTACAAATTTTGTAAGGATAGGGAGATCTTTTTCAAAATTATTGTAACAATGTGCCAGCGAATCAGCACAAGTAATTGCAACACAACAAATCTGTGTGTCAGTGACACATCATCTGACTACACACAGTACTTGCCCCACCCACACCACAATAAAACAGAGCATGTAGGTTTCATACTTGAAATAAGATACATGAATGAAAAATTTTCTCATTGAATAATTTCACTCACACTGATGAAACCCAATAAGTAAGAGAATAAAGCATTTTACCTGTTCTAGAAACATGGATACGGAGCAAAGGTTTTGCGGTCGTTATTGCTTTATGGTAATTATCATCGTTATTTATTGGTAATAAATCACCCTGTGGATCAGTGTAACACACACTAAATGGAATGTCATTCAAGCTATGAAGTCTCTCAAGAAATATGTACAGTTCCTCAAACGTGTCCAACTTCCTTGGGTCAAGCCCAAACCTTCGAAATTCAGCATCAAACTAAAACAAACAAACAAACAAAAAAAAAACGAAGTTAGCATTTTGAATTCCTGCATTTACAGATATTAATCCATTGCAGTTGAACTACCACAACTGAATCTAACATTAAGCAGCGCCACAACTGAGCAATGACGGCATAAATCTGTAAATGTTTATAAACATTATGTTTAAATTTCAAACAAATACAAAATATAGACAAGAACATTGCATTTAACTAAATGCCCATTTGATAAACTCAATTAAGATGCCTATGTCACAAATTACACAACCAATCACAATCAAGCAACTTGGTGACAATGTAATGGTCCTTTATTTAAATAATTTTTCATATCCCCCAGTCATATCCCAAGACTGGCTAACACATGACATCTTATTTTTTTGTTCACCACTGACACATTATCAGTTTCAGATTACAGGGTTACAATGGCTATTAAGAGACTTTGTTCCACTTCAGTGACAGTGAGTAGAAAACACTCCATTGGGACTTTACAACAAGATACATCATAATATGTATAAATACGCATAACATGCAAGATGAATTGACACAACAGTGACTGTCACTGACACATCAATGAGTAAAATCTACTTGTTGAAGTTGAGATACATTAGCTACACCACAGTGAGTCTATAGAGGGACTGTGGCTACACTTGTGACTGCGGTGGTGAGACGAGTTAAGTAGTTGACTCCCTCTTTAGTGATTTTAAAAGAACATTGTGTACTTTGGTAACACAGTAAAGACTTGGATGTTAGTTTTACTAATAGTGCAGTTAATTGTAACTGTGTCTGCAGGCAGCATAAAGACTGGTGAAAACACTTAAAACACAAATACATGCACAGTTATGTTTACCTATGAAGTCTACTCTCAATCCAAATTGATTTCAATCTAACCAGGAATGTCAAAGAAAAGTAAGCATTTCTAAACTCCAATATTACTCTATATTTTACCTTCACAAATAATTTGATCCAAATTCAAATTCAAACAAATTTAAATATATATATTTTAAGTTATCTAGTGCTTAGATATAATATTTCACCACTTAGTCATGTCCACACCCATTCAAGGTCTTATTACAGTTGAACATTTACACGCAAGAGTACATTTAACCAGCACACAAGACAGAAAATAGTGTACAAATAAATTTCCTGTGAAAATAATACACAATACACTAGGACTAAAATAATTTACCGTGTCTGTCAACAAACTGTACAGTTTAAAATAACATTGTGTATACAACAGATTGGCATTTATAATAATACTGGTATAACAATAATATACTATGGTAAATGTAAAGACTTGCATCAAATATTTTTTATAGCCAAGTACGATCCAACAATTGCATGAATTTTATCAGGAATTGCAGAACGACGTTATAGCCATAAATGTACTTCATATGCAATACAAGTATAATCAGATAAAAGACTACACGAACATTACATTGACAATATATATATATATATATATATATATATATATTATTGGACATGAATTTGATTATATTACTATTTAATCAAAAAGAGAAGTGTCACGTACACTTGGAGGTCAAATGTGGTTTGTACGTGACGGCCATGGCCAAACTATAAATAACAAAAAAAACAAAACAACGAATTTTAACAACACAACAGTTTGGTCACAGCTGAAAATAATATTAAAACCAATTGGTACACTGTAACGTCACATGCAACGGGATCGGAAGATAGTCATTAAAAATTTAATGATATCCGAGATCGTTTATGCATCTACATCGGGTGGTATTCCAGCATGTTGGAAGTCCGAGAGCTGAGTCACAATACACGCCCAGCGATCACGATGCCGACAAGAAAGTGACCGGGGGACCGCCAAGCGATAAAAACAGAAGAAGGGCGACTTACCTTGCTTTTAGCTTCAATGCATCCGTTTTGAGGGACTTCATAGTTGAAGGTATGTACTTCCACAGACATATTCAGTACTAGGAAGTATACCGATCATGTGTTATAACAGGAAATTTGTCATAAATAGAAACACTTAAAGCAGCGGCCAACTTTTCGCAAGAGAAATCGACACTTGGCTACTGAACAGATATGGTGACGTCACAGAATTCCCTACTTCCGCTTAGCCTCGATTTGAAAAAAGAAACAGCTGAGAAATGATATTTATGCGAACATGATTATTGAAGACACCGTTGTAGTCTACAACAGTCCAACGACATGTACCTGGTGTTCATCACAATAGCTTACGTAATTTTGGCGTGAATGGGATTTATTTGCTTTCGTTGTAAATATACACCCTCACTCACCTGACATTCGCTATGTGTTCTGGGAAGCAAAATGGCGGCTGTTATGAAAACCAAAAATGCTTGACATGACAAGCAACTCCGTCACCGTACGTACGTTCAGAAAACGGTATGTATTGTCTTTTTTTTATAAGTATGTAGAAGTTGTGGGTGTATGTTTTATTTTATTTGTTAACTAGTAGCTTCGCGGTGAGTGGCTTTCGCGGTAAGTGGGTTTCATATCTGGTGGGTTTCGTGTATTTTAGTACAAATTGCGGTCAGTAATATTTACGAACATTTTTGTTCTAGGATTGCCCTTAAAATCAATTTTGTGTGTCTGTGTGTGTGATTTCCAGTGTTTTCACGTATTAATTCTTCTGTGATTTTTTTGGCTTGGCCTATTTCCCTCAAACTTGGCAGGCAGGTCACACCATCACCCAGTTATTAGGTAAAATCTGAAAAAAAAAATGGCTCCCGTTGCCATAGTAACAGCCAAAAATTGTTTTTTTTTGGATGGCTTTGTGCCAAATGCATCTCCTCCTACAAATTTAGGATAACACCCCTCAGAAATAGCTCATTCTACTCAGCTTGAGTGTGGACATGAAGTTGAATTTTTGATATCTTTTTTTTATTACCGAGAAATTTGACTCTTCTGTGATTTTTTTGGTTGGGCCGATTTGGTTCAAACTTGGCAGGCAAGTCACACCTTCACTCTAGTTAAGTTGTAAAATCTAAAAACAAATTCTGGCCCACTGTTTCCATGGCAACAGCCAAACAATTTTTTTTATACCTTCTCACTCTACAATTCTAGGATTAAGTAGCTCATTCTACTCAGCTTGAGTG